CTCGGACTTCTCTGTTGGAGTCAAGAGCGTTGAAAATTTTGTCGGTAATACAAATAAGCTGGTTAACTGTCGAATCTCCTCTGATAAAGCCCGACTGAAGAGTATACAAAAGGTTTTGAGACATCAGATGATTATACAAATGTTTATAAACAATTTTCTCTAAGATTTTTGACAAACAAGGTAGCAAGGAAACGGGGCGATAGTTTGACACATCATCATGATCTCCTTTTTTATAAATCGGAACCACATTTGCCCGTTTCCAGGCTTCGGGAAAGACACCATGGCAAAGTGATAAATTAAAAACATATGCGATTTTATCAGAGATATAAGGACATATTAATTTAAGGAAACGGTTATCAATATTGTCATAGCCACATGCCTTTGATACATCTAAGGAAGAGACATAAAGTTCAATCTCCACAGGTGTAGTAAAACATTCTGAGAAGCGGACATCAGTAAGAAAATCTAGTCGAGGGAGGCTAGACTTGGAGTCATCTATAGTGGACTGGTCAGAAAAATATTTGTTAAACATAATTGCCTTTTCCCTAGAGTCGGTATATTTTATTATTGTTTATGATATTAGCCCTTCTAAATGTACCATTGCTGAGATATCGAATTAGTCCGGAATTAAACTGAAGCCTGCTGTTAAATAAACATTGAGACTATAGAACTAACCTAAGAACATGGAGTTGATGGTGAGATCTCGTCTCTCAGCGTCGATTTTCCAGTCCGTGGTGAACTCCACCTCCGCATGCCGTCCGTCCGTCACCACGTCAACTCTCAACGTCGTCACCTCAAAATTCTCCTTGTTGTTTATCCGCGCGGTGATCGTACCGTGTTCCTCGCCTCTCGTGTTCAGCATGCGTACGCCCTCCTTCTCAAACATTACCTTCATCTCCTCTGGCGTTGCTGTCGTCGCGAAGTCCAGATCTTGGGGTTGTTTCCCCATGAGGATATCGCGTACAGCCCCGCCAGCGATACGTAACTCGTACTCGTACTTAGCAAAGAGCTCCGACAGACGATTTAGCTCGGGGGTGAAGAGGTTTTTGAATTCTGGTTTATCGAGCTTCATGGTTCTGTTAGTATGAAGACTCTGTAGTGTTAGGTAATGTTGTAGTGTTTGTGGCCGGAGTCTTGTATGTTTTAAACCTGATGCAATACTACGAAATACCCCAGCAAGCATTGCACAATCAGAAGACTTGGTGTTGTCCTTTTGTTACCACCAACGTCTGAAAATAGATTTTTTTTTTCAAAACGATAAGCAATTTGCTCAACAGGCTTAAACGACAATACTGTCTGCTAGGGTTTAACGTTATATATTTTGTTCGTCAGACAGATTTGACAGAGGTTTCTGGCTTGGGGAGTTGCTACAGTAAGAAGGGGTTTGCCCCCCTCCCCTTATTTTCTTCAAATTTTGCCCGTTTTACCGGTCTATTTAACGAAACAAATCATACAATTTGCTCAGATAAGGTCCCAAATGTGTAAATCTTCTAGTCAATGGCAATGTCATGTTGACAAACGGAAAAACACGACAGTATGAATAGATTTTTCCCACCTGCGAAAGGAGTCACCGAAAATGTCGCATAGGCGCCGCCATTTTGATGTGGACGAGGTCACTTTTGTAGAGGGGTGAGTAGTATCAGATATTGTCGGTAGAAATCGAGAGAGTACTATAAAAAATTAGGCTTGGGTATTCGGGGGGGTTATTTTCACCAATAAAGGAGAAACAAATATCTTTATACCTGAAAATTGTCCCTTTGGGATGCTTGAAAATTCCATTTCTTCTTTACAAAAAAAACACTAACACAGAGTAGATACGCCCCTTCAGAATATATTGGTCTCTACCAAACTGCTATTATTGTTTCCTTTTTACCATAATACATGTGCTAGTAATTTCTAACTAGGGTTCTCCGAGAATTTCACCTATTTGTAAAAGGTTGTAATACTGTAATATGTTACACCAAGGATATTATACGTATGTAAAAATCATCACAGCAGTTGCCACCAATGAGTAGAGTAGAGTAGATCTTTCGTCTCGGTAGGAAGTTCTCTTCCACTTTGAGCCGCTCCTTGTAGTTTACTGCGTTGACATGGTCATCTTGTGGGGGTTGTCCAAAGCCCGGGGGTTGTACACCACTGGATGACTTCTCATGTGTTTGTCCAGTCTATTTTTAAAACTGTTCACACTTGGGGCTGACACCACCTCCTCAGGTAGACTGTTCCACCATGTTACTACCCTGTTGCTGTAGAAAAACAGCCTTTTGTTGTTGTTCACTGATCTTTTGTTTAGGCGTAAGCTGTTCCCTCTTGTTCTTGTTTTTTCTTGCATTTTTGGTAGGCAACCCTCTGTGTCCAGCTTCCCATGAATGTATTTGTAGGTCATGATCATGTAGCACTGTGGCTGTGACTAAATCTATACCAGAAAATCATCAAATACTAAACGTTACTAGATGAAAGTTTGTTTCTTTAATTGAACACATATGTCGCTAGGTCAGCACTAGAGTAGAGTAGATCTTTCGTCTCGGTAGGAAGTTCTCTTCCACTTTGAGCCGCTCCTTGTAGTTTACTGCGTTGACATGGTCATCTTGTGGGGGTTGTCCAGTGCCCGGGGGTTGTACACCACTGGATGACTTTTCATGTGTTTGAATGACTTTTCATGTGTTTGGATGACTTTTCATGACTTTGGATGACTTTTCATGTGTTTACCGTCACTAGCCACGCTGATACAATGATGACAGAAAGAGAGATCTTATACATGGTTATTTTGGGAGCGTTGCTTGTGTTGGTTCCATCAGTTGCAGCCTTGGTACAGGATTTACTGTTAGGATCGTCCACACACTGTAGGTGCCTCAGGAACCTGGAAGAGAGAGAGGGAGAGAGAGAGAGAGAGAGAGAGATGAGAGAGGGAGAGAGACAGGAGAGAGAGAGAGACAGGAGAGAGAGAATTTAGAAAGAAAGAATTAAAAAATTAGTGCAACAAAAAATATAACCTTGAGACGGCATAAAACGTACAAAAAGTAGGTTAGCGTTTAATAGTTTTGTGAACTTTCAGTCATTTGACGGTAACATGGTGTGGCTGAAAAAACAACTAAACTCAATCATAACTTCATGTAGATCATCAGCATTTCTTTATACGGTTTGCCGATGGGACGACTGCCCCTTGCACAGTACATGTACATTGCACTGAGTATTGAAAATCTTTACAGTTATACTCAATATAAAATCTTAGTCATGTAAAAATGTGTTTACTACAGACCACGTCGTATATATCTCTTCACCAATGGTTTAGCATGAGATAATTACTTACGGTGGATCATCTGTACAGTCCATAAGGAATCCGCGACGGCTCAACTCCTGATCCAGCTGAATTAAGGAGCCTTTTCCACACGCTTCTCTAAAAAAGGATCGAAGAACACAGCAAGATCATAGATTATTCTTTTCAAGTTGCGGGTTGAAGGCAAGGCGAAGGCAAGACGGTGGCAGATATAGACTTCCGAGCACCTTTGACCTTCTAAATGACGCCACACTTCCCTACGATCAGTGTGCGACGAAGGCCAAGAGATGCGGACATAATTTCGAAAACTTACCAAAATAAACTTTCAATAGTTTACACACCTGTACGGTGGAACGACGATAAGATCGTGCATCACCCAGACGTTGACTTTGGAGACTTTCTGTTGGTCCAAATTCGGTAACTCTTCCATTCCGAAGTAGCTACCGACGAAGAGAAAAAGAGATAAAGTGAAAAGACTACTGAGGGATTTGGTATATCAATACAAATGTACAACGTCAAAGAAACTCTGAGTGGCGACCAGTAACCTCTGGTGTTCCTCAGGGGTCTATTTTGGGGCCACTTCTGTTCCTATTGTATATTAATGATCTACCCATCACTGCAGCAAACTCCACTGTAGCACTGTTTGCAGATGATTCTAAATGCTACAGAGAGATTTGTAACGCTGTAGATTGTCAAAAATTGCAGAATGATATTTTCTCTATGTACGAGTGGAGCCTTCGGTGGGGGATGTCTTTCCATCCATCGAAGTGCAAGGTTCTCCGTCTGACACGTTCCAAGAGCCCAATAATTTTTACCTATCATATGTCAGACATCGTTCTATCTACAGTCAAAGATATGAATGACTTAGGGGTTTTGGCCCAAACTGATCTGCTTTGGAACAGTCACATTGTGAAAACAGTTGCTAGAGCCAATTCAACGGTTGGATTCATCAGACGCACTGTTGGTTATGAGTCCAGCCTTGTGGTGCGCAAATCCTTGTATGTATCATTGGCTAGATCTTTACTTGAATATTGTTGTCAAATATGGTCACCTCTGTCTCGCAATCTGATGTCCTTGTTGGAGGGCGTGCAGAGGCGGGCAACCAAGTTCATTATAGGTGCAAATGCCAATGCTTGTGAACTTGACTACAAGGCTAGACTAGCTCACCTCAACCTGTTACCTCTTTCATATAGGAGAGAGATCGCTGACATCATGTTGTATGTTAAGTCCACGGCTAATGTGTACGATTTAGACATGCATAATTATGTTTCATTTTCATCACGTCCAACAAGAGGTAGTAGGTCCCATATGCTAATGCCAGTTCGCTGCAAAACATCAACAATCGCTACTTCCTACATCCCTCGCTTGGTGGCTGAGTGGAACAGACTGGAAGTCAGAGTCCGGGACATGGGGGCTGTCGCTACGGGGCAGTCCGAGCTTTCAAACGGGGTCTTGTCAAATCGCTGACCAAGAGATTTAATGATCATTTTGTTACTGACAATCTCTGCACGTGGACGTCTGCTTGTCGGTGTGCCACATGTCTGGCAATAAGGCCACGGTAGACATGGGGCACTTCCACGGCCGGATGTACATGTGCAGAGATCTAGCTATTATGAAATTGTGCAATTATATATATTGTTATTATTGTCTTCTTACGATGTTGTGCAATATGTTTAATTAGTTTTAACTATGATTGATTGTAATGTCATTTATGTCTTTGGGGAGGGAGCCTGTAAAGGTGGTCTCCACCTGTTTCTCCCTTCCCTTCCACTTGTGGTAAAGCTTGAATAAATAAATAAATAAATAAATACATATAATTCATATTGCATGTAAATTAGGTTGGGGTTTTGTCATGAAAAAAAGATACAGTAACTGTAGTCCTTTAAACAGCTTGAATGGAATTAGAATATCCTGTTCTTAAATTTGGAGGTACGTGTTTCTACCTTTCAGAAACAGTTACTGATCGAGGAATATTATACTAACTAACCTTGTGTTCACGAAGGCATCGATTGGCTTCCCTTCCTGGTCTTTCCTCGTCCCGCTCAACATCACATAAACGTCACCTCGCGCTCTTTTGGCGAACTGCAGGACAAGTGCAAGTTCACAGGAGTGTGAGATACCGGTAGTTTTTCAATCGGAAACCATACGGGAGGGGGTAGCCTATTGAAATTAATATTGTAACAAGTTCTCATTAAATTATTTTTAATACCTCATGAATATTTCACAGCTAAGCTAACTGTAGTATATAGAGAGGGATTTATCAAACCATGAACTTACAGATCTGGAGGCCGCACGCCAGAAGGAATCCCATGGCACAGTCGGCGGACACTTGGGGCATGTCTTTTCGTTGTACCACGGTTCACTGAGCGACCCGCACCACCTCAGCCCGTTCAGTACATAGCCGGGGAGGGTGTCCTCTAGAGTTGTGTACCGGAGGCCGTCGTTTGAGTATTCGTGGGCAAGGACGGTGGTACCGGACCAGAACAGGGTCTTAAAACGGTCAAAATAACAGAAGTTAATGTAGAAGTGTACGGTTTTTAAATGCTGAACGTGCTGGGAAAGTATTTAGAAAAAAATACATGTGTTTCTATGTATTTCAATTCTGAGTCGTCACTTTTGAATTACGAAGTTTGTTGGCAAGTTGTATGGCGAAGGGGTTAAAATAGAGTAAGTTTAAAAGTAATAAAACCATTTTCTAATGCACGCCAATTATATTGGTTATTATGAAGCTTTGCTACTCATTAACCACATCTTTGTGTTTACCTTCTCCGCTGATGGCGTGTCAAATGCTGAAGCGCTGAAGAAATCGTCATAATAAGACGGTTTCTGGTCACAAGGGTCGCGGTTAGAGAAGGCGTGAAAAAACTTGTCCCACAGACCAGTACAGTTTATCTCCCTGTGGGGGCAAATCACACAACAGATTGTGCGAAAGTCTAGTCTTTATACATGATCAATACTGGGTGTTTACATTCGATGTTTTGGTGGCCGTCTGTAACCTTCTTGAGGTCAACAATGACTGGTTCTGCCGTAGCTTTTGGTCGGTCAAAGTCCGAACTTTGCCGGCCTTGTGATCACTTGATTTCCGGAGACATACAGTTGTACGTGTTTTTTAATCGCTGTGCGCTGAGCAAACAATTCGATTGCTCGATGTTGTTTTCGTAATTTTTAAAATAAAAAATGTAAATCTTAAGATTTGTATTGAAGTCATCTAGGCATTTGACAGCTAGCAAGGGGAAAAACTTACGGCGAAACTTTCCATAGTCGTTGGAAGTCCCAACACCTCCCGAGAAAGATCTCTTCTAAGTGAAGGGTCGTGCCATTGTTTTCTGTCAACATACTAGTAGACATCTCAGGCTCCGGAGGGAGCGCGCTCACCCTGCTGATGACACGCAGGGTGCCGAGAAGGACGAGCAACGAGAGAGGAAGTCTAGTGGCACCCATCTGTAGTGTCTGGTCAAGTGGATAGGCTCACATTCGAAACGGGCGGCCGATTCAACGTCACATGCTGGTAGTGAACTGTGGCGCGCCCCCATGCGGAACATTAACGTATTGCAGACCTTAGGTTCAGGATCAAAGTACAGTGTGCAGGATAGGTAACTATCCATTTTTCCTGGCACTATAATATTTAACAAGCACGCTCAGACATTCAGCTATACTGCATCTTAACCACCTTCTTTTAAGGAATTTCATAACCCCAAATTTGTGTAATAACAGCACAGTTTTCAGCACCACAACTTAGATTTCTATTAAATAAAAACTACTTTAAAAGCCCTAGAATGCACAGATTTGCAAAGAAAATTCACTGTTCCTACTCACACATATTCTACCACGTTAAAAAAAAAGAATACCACACTGAGTTGAGTTTTGGTACGTTTACTTCCAAACTAGCAGCTTACACTCTTGACTCTCGTAGACAAAGACAGAAGTATAAGCGACATACAGTGTGCAGGGATATGCTGTTAGCAATAACAAAGCAACACAAGACACAGAGTTTAACACATTGGTCTGTGTACATTTGCTACTGGTCCTACTGGCTCATAGGTAAAATATATACAGTTTGTATGCACTCATGATTTCTCGGTAAGACCTATATGCATCAAGGTAATAATATACTTGCTTTAATTGCACCTGCTACATAAACTGTGGACAAAGGAGCTACGCAATAGACACACTGGACGTTATCTTTGGAAATACATGTATGTGACCATCAACAAGAATAACATGTATCTCTACAGTCCATTAACATGTATGTATGGGCAATGCACATGGAAATGTTGATATCATGGCATGGATGTACATATGGCACAGTTTGGGAAGATTAGCCACTACTTCAAGAAAAATTACGTATGGAAGGGCATGTCTGACCGATCGCGATTTCTGACAAAATGTCTGTCAGCTTTCCTCTACTATCAACCAGTTCATTCAAACTCATCCTAACTTCTAGTAAGTATCAGCTACTACATGTGTATGACACATGGCCTGCTCATGATACACTGAGTGACACACACAGTCTTTTACAACCTGATGCTTTTCTCCTCATATCGTTGCCATCTTGTCTCACGTTTAGGACTTATATAGTCCTGAAGCCACTACCTGCTGTCTACCTGAGGGTTCACACTGTCTACTTCATCAAAAGTTTTGGCCATTTCCTGTCCCATTTTGAGATCAACATGCCTAAGTATTAATGGCAAGGGTATTGCTATACAGCAATTAACCTGTGTAACCTCCAACTTTGTAGTGAGATCATTTCTTCACAAAACTTCACTAATGGCGTTTGCATTGGATGGCTGTATTCAAAAGTCCTGTACTACATGCAAAGGTTAAAAAAGCGTCTTCCATTAGGAGTATGGATTCTATCGAACACTCTAATGGCAAGCAAAGCATATCTTATTTCAGAACAACTAACAGTAACTGCAGTACAAAAGTAATCATAAGTAACTGATGCAGGTAGGGAGTGGGGGGGTATCTAAGTCCTCAAAGGGTTCTGTATGAGAACTAAGGATACCAATTTTTGAACACGTATATTGAGTTGCAGTTCCAATGAGTTCCGCTAGGGAGCAGTAGCCAACAACCTCTTTTCCTGACACTCATCTAAACAGGACCAACATCATCTGTCTGTCTCCAGTGTTTAAGAATGGTAAGGAACATGCAATACTGCAAGAGGACACTTTGCGTTCTGTCATCACTGGATGTTTTTTATGTCCTTGTTTTACGCATAAGACTTTGAAGTGGAAGACGGTTGAAAAAAGTGGACCGCACGTCTAGAAATATTTACAGTTGAGTTGAAAACCATACTTGTCTGTTCCTTAGTACGTCACAGAAAAGACTGTAAAAGGGATTGCATAGAAATCTCCATGGCTAGTAGGCCTGACAGTATATATCTAGCGTATAGAAAACAACCTAAAAATACAACCCTTTTTGTAGAAAGTTCCCCTCCACCTGAAATGGAATCATCCCTATGAATCTAGGGAAAGTTCATTTTTGTAGGGGTGTTGCCAAGGGCACATATAATGCAACATCAATAGCCCCCTTTGGGCTATTAACTCCATTGAAATGTACCATCCCTTAAAGGCAACTGTCTGTATCTCACAATGTTTCATCAGAGGTAACTTTGCAGTTTTACAACACTTTTTTTAAATCTAATCATGAAACACATTAAGAAGAAACACTTTTGCCCATTTAAGTCAGGAGGGGGTCCAGTAATGCAGTGCAAAACCTACCCCTCCAAGGCACATTGGTTAGGACATGGTACAGTTTTCGTTTCAATGTCACAATGCTTGTCACATTCAATTAACCAATTACTTTGAATAATTTATCAAAAGAATACATAATAATAATAATTATGATACAAGTGGAATAAAGAAACAAATTCTACATCAAAAAAAGCAATCTGTTGGCTAAGGAGTTGCATACTCATTATGTTCTTGTATAAATCATATAGGAAGCAGAAAAATTGTATACCATATCATGTACATGTACGCACATGTAGCATAGGCTAAGTCAATGCATTTGACAAATTACTATTTAAATCTACAACTGCAAAAGAAATAATAATTTACAATCACATCATATTGGCCATCTGTACTGTCGTATATCAGCTAAAAATAACAAGTTATCAAAAGTAGCTTTCCGCTACACTCACTGTATGAAGTATACGTCGTACCAAATTCTTTTCTAAATCTTGGCCCAAAACCTTTTCATGTTGCACTTCTCTACATGTAGCAGATGTAACAAAGACTACAAAAATGATACAGAAGCAACAGTTGAAAAGGTCTTTGACACATTTGTGACCACTCTCTGTCCAGTTTGCTAGTTGTCGAGTCATTCAACCACATGTAAGTAAGAAGAATACTATATCCCTGGAAGAGCACATATTGAGGAAATGTAGAAATACCTCTCTTTGTATGGAAATCAGTACAAGTCAATAAAAAGAAAGCTGTACAGTGTGCTATACTGCTACTGTTGCTTTTTTCTTGGAGGCTTTCTTCAGTTGTTTTTCCCTAGCCTTGAGCTCCTTCTCCGCCATCTTGCGTTCTTTGGCTACCTGGGCTTTGATTTCTTTGATTTTCTTCTTGAGTAACGAACGGTCGTTGCTGTTTGACACACCCAAACCCTGTGGAAATAAGATATTGAAATCTAGTAGGTCAGGTTTTGATTCTTAAACATTATTCAGCTTTATATACATTTAAAACTGATGCCATGGTAGTGTTTTATACTTCTTAGAGAAAGCACTGGTGCCATTCGTGTAAATCTAATCTCATTATTTACATTTGTACATGTATGTCAATTTACAGTAAATTGTGAAACTTTCACAGTGGTTTTATGTGTTCCCAATGACCAGGTGTGTGTATGCAGAGTTGTTTCAACTGCAAATTATAAGTACAGTGAAAACCTGCTTTCCTCCTACTGTGAAAGAACACCACCACAAAAGTTTCACGATGTACAGTATTTAGGTCAGGAAGTCGAGTTACCTTCAACTTCGACCCGTCCAGCTGTATAAGTGTTTGACCGGTGACGTTTTTGGCCTGGAACTCGGGGACGTACTGGTCCAGCTCGAGCGCGGTCAGCCACCTCAGAACCTGCTCGTTACCCCAGTCCATGATGGACTTGTTCTGCCAGTGGTGAGACTTCACCCCCTCACTACTGCTGGTGTCCATGGGCTGGGGTGGGGGCACAGGGCAGAGGTCATTATCAAAGGTAAAGGGTCAGATGTCAAAAGTCATTACCAAAGGTAAAGGGTCAGATGTCAAAGGTCATTATCAAAGGTAAAGGGTCAGATGTCAAAAGTCATTATCAAAGGTAAAGGGTCAGATGTCGAAAGTCATTATCAAAGGTAAAGGGTCAGATGTCAAAAGTCATTATCAAAGGTAAAGGGTCAGATGTCAAAAGTCATTATCAAAGGTACAGGGTTAGATGTCAAAAGTCATTATCAAAGGTACAGGGTTAGATGTCAAAGGTCATTATCAAAGGTACAGGGTTAGATGTCAAAGGTCATTATCAAAGGTAAAGGGTCAGGTGTCAAAAGTCATTATCAAAGATAAAGGGTCAGATGTCCTAGTCAGAAGTTCTAGGCCTCTACAGTACCAATTTGTTGCAACTGATTCATATACTTGGAAACCACAATGTGTAAACCAAAGCACCGTGTCACCTTAAACACATGAACATGTAAAAACTTGTGCAAAGAAAAAAGGTTATTTTAGTGACGACCTTAAGGTAAAGGTGTTAAGTTACTATAAATGTGTTACACCAACAGAAAATTATGGCCAAATAATTGTTATTAGATACATGTTTTTGTAATCATGCATTGCCATTATAAAAAGTTCAACATGCATGAGAAAATGGGTGGAACAAGAATGAAAGCTGACATGAGACCATGCTAATTCTCTTACAGACACATCTTTTTCCTAGAATAAAATGATCATCATTGATGTTCACAAATGTTAATAAAAGAAGATACATGTAACATATAGAGGCTTCATAAAGATAAACTCATGACATAATGGCTCCTGACCACAGATAAAAGATAAGGCCACACCAATTTAATTTGTTGGTTCTCGGATTTTTTCAGAAAAAATATGAAGCGACAGGGCGAAAAAAAATAAAAATAAAAACAGGTCTAGGCATCCTATTATAGGCTTAAATGCTACGGAATGAGCTATGAAGTCAACACAAAAGGTTGGGTTAAAATTTAAACATTGAATTTTGAACTTTTAATCAAACCACTGCAATGATAGATGGGAAAACTGTAACAATTAGGAAGGAAAGGACTTTCCTCAACTGTTGGGGGCAAAATATGAGCATTTTTCAGTTGATACAGGACCAGAATCAATTTCTTTTTTTTGCAAATCAGAAAAAAAACGAAGAGGCGAATCCGAGAACCAACAAATTAAATTGGTGTGGCCTAACAATGTGCAGGTATGATAACAATCAGTTTTCTTCAATAAGCATTTTAGTTTTGTAACTAACATACACAAAATCAACTTGACAGTCTAAGGAAGGAAAACTTGTTTATTAGTAACAACTGCTCACCGAGCAAAGAGCTGGAGAAAAGACGAAACACTAAATACATCACCGAGATTTATATAATTTGTTAGTAACAAAAAAATACAATATACAGCCTCAGTCATAGCAAAAAATGCAGTATCTGATATCACTTGAATAAAAATATTATAATGCTTCAGCCTTTTTGGGTGCTAAACAGATACTGCATTTTTCCCTTCACCCTAACACCACATTTAAAGCAATATTATGTAAGATTTTCACTATTTTAAACATTGTTGTTTTACACCTTGGTTCATAATAACAATTTGGGCAGTAAAAGATCAATGTTGTTGCGCCACAAAAACGTGTTGGAAGCTACTGAAGATACCCGAACAAAAGCCGCTGTTTCTTTACATTCTTTTTAGGAGCCTCCTAAAAATACATCGGGCCTGGTGAAACTTATTCTTTGCTATGCTGAGTCACCAAAAAAGCAAAATAGTGATGCTAATATGTTGAAAGTTATTAAAAATGACAATCTAGATGAGAAAAATTCAATTATTAGCATTTACAATTTTGGGCGCAAAAATCTTACATAATATCACTTAACATTGTTGCAGAAAAGTATCACCTCTCCACCACCTATAACAGTACCAGTAGAGAAAACACCAGAACTGAGTACATGAATCATTACCACATCACTATCATGATCGGGGGTGAGGGGGGTGGCAGGAGTGGAGGGGGTAGCTGGTGTAGAGGGGGTGGCTGGAGTCCCGGGGGTGCTGGGTTCCGTTGAGTCCTCGAATTCTATCCGCGGGTCCTGTTTCAGAGGTAAAACATCACTACACTGTGGGGTACATGTAGACATGCATTTTCTGTCAAACCTAAATTTCTACCTTCAACACAAAACTACACAATAATATACTGCCTAAAAATTACAACTACAGGAATATGTAGAATCCTTGTAAAGATTGAAACATAGCAAGTACTGTAAATCACTGTGTTTTCACGGTACTTTAATATTCGTGGTTTTCGCTGTCGCTTGTACCGTGAACAAATAATTCGCCAACTTTCTTTTTGCTGCACCTGCCGCCACTGCAAACATATTATTTTAATAGTTCCGCCAACACGTCCATTTTACTCCGACCGCAAACATAAAGTGATTTACAGTAAATGTAATTATAGCCAAAGATGTGAATGTCCAATACAAGATTACATAACACAGCTGTAAATAGTCCTATTTTTTCTGCCTGTAATGTTTTTCTATCTCCGTTACTGTGTAATGATAAGTTGTATACCTCAGTGTTGAAGGTGTAGGAGCCTTTGGAACCTTTGGAACTGTACTCTGAGACCATCCCCACCAGGCTGTCTGATAGGGTGCTTGGAATGCTGCCTTTTGTTTTGGCCAGACCAGGACTGAAGCCAGGTATGGGGGAACCTGTGTGAAAACAAACAAACAACAACAACCCTTTAGTGTACATGTAAGTAAAACAAGCTACAAAAAATCTGAATCAAAAATATAGTTAGAAAAGACAAAACAATGAAGTTCTGAAACATGGTTTGAAAAAGAATCAAATTGTGAACCTTCAAGCTACCAGTATGTAGACTAAGTCTTTCTCCAACAGTTTTGATTCCTTGTGTAAGAAAACCCAGAGTCTATCTGTCCACTGTACATATTCATGCTGTAACACAAATTTCCATGCCTAGATATTGCTGGCCTAGACTAATCGACCATAAAAAATGTGCCAGTACGGATCAAATTTCCGTCTTCAAAAATACTTCCTCTGCTACACCAACCTCAAAACCTACAACCTCAAAAGAAAGGAACAAAATTTGTTGTAGACTTATACACTTTTTCTTAATTTTAAAACCAATTATTCAGTATATTTCAGTTCATTGGTTAGCAATAGTATAGTCTATGGTAAATACATTTGATTTAGCTGAAAAAAGTGTCACCGGCTGTTTATATATTCAAACATACATGCACAAATGTATTATACAAAATTTGCTTTTACAGTCAAACCTGTACTAGCGGTCACCTTGGCAGTGCGGTCACCCGGCCATAGCGGTCGGTTTTTGCCGGTCCCTTGAATTTTTCCCATTGACGTAAGCATTAAGAATCGCGTATATAGCGGTCACTGTTCAACGCGGTCAGCGGTCACCCCATTACGGTCCCGCCGGCTGTCAACACCGCCGATAGCGGTCACGGCTGGCCGGCCGTTACCCGCTAAGCACCACGTACGTAACACCACCCGACCTCGGGCTACGGCCGTTAGGACGTTCAATCAAGCCTTGTGATAATTTTGTGGCCGCTACATTATTAAAATGTGAACTGAAATTAGACTCCAGATGTGTATGAAATAAAGGAAAACTTGATTTTGACACGAAATTTTTGCGGTCGCTCGTGTT